AATGTTTCGCTCACACACACTTAGGAATCTTAACAGCTGCCGGACAAATGGTTGGCACTGGTTGATCAGAGCTGTATTAATTAAACATGCTGATTCACAAATAGTTCTGCTGTAAATACAGAGAAACCCTCCACCTTCCCCAGCTCCACCTGTATAGATCTGCTACGGGGTGATTCATGTATGCTATATGGGGTGTTATTTCATGTATGTTATATTTGCAGCAGCAATATTTCTTACATGCTCACAGCAGCATGTTGTGGATATTCCGCCAAGACCAAATACATTAACATTGTCATGTACATTACCATGCCAATCCCTCCGAGAGTGGTCATGACAGAAATGAAAATTTTGCCATCATTTACTCATGTCATTCAAAACCCGGATGACTTTTTGTCTGTGAAACACAAAAGGAGACAACTTGAAAAACGTTCCTGCTGCTCATATACAATTGAAGTATACAGTGTCCAGAGATTCCAAAAAGGACAAAAAAGCAGTTCATATGACTTGTGTACTATATTAGTCTTCTAAAGCCATACGAACAGACATTAATTTAAGCCATTTTTAGGACACGGACACATTATGCAAGGCAGCTTCCAAATGAGGAACCATACAGGAAATTAGCAGTTTCGATTGTAAATCAAAAGAGTACAGAAGCTAGAGCAGAAGTGTAACTGAACAAAAGTTGAGAAAGTCAGGATATTTTTGTATTTTTCATAGGAAATGCCTTTGTTTACGGTTATAAATTTATTAAGTGCTCTCAGAATAGAACTTCCTAAAGAATGTATCACTTGTGGTGCTTTTAAAACCGTTTGTGCTTGTGATGGGTCATTAATCAACGATTTTCATTGTGCGTCTGTTACATGACAAATGAATAAAAATTTTGGACTCTGGAGGTGAACTAATCGTTTATGTTTCTCATAATTTATCTTTGGCGGCATTATAATGATTTCCTAATGCGCAGTATGATCAAAGAATGCACGTGGATGTGCTCAAGGAATTTGGATATTGAAAATAAATATTTTTCCTTCTCTCAAAAGAATAAATTAGTTCATTTAGTTGCATGAAATTCAACAGTGAAGTTGGCAGAATGATGCGATCTTCCCATTAGTGCTTCGTTTGGGTGAAGTTGCACACCACACAACTTGTATAAACAGAGCAGATTAGCTGCATAGCATCCAATTTTATCAGCACCCGTGTTTTGATTTAGGAAAGATAACAAAACATTTTTTCAAGATTCAAAAAACATGATTCAAATCATTCACTAACGACTCATCGCTAGTTCAAAATGAATATTTTTATTCAGTAAGGTTGCATTTAATTGATCAAAAGAGTGACATCAAAGACATTTGTGACCCTGGACCACAAAACCAGTCATAAGTAGCACAGCTATATTTGTAGCAATACCCAACAATACATTGTATGGGTCAAAATTATAAATTTTTCTTTTATGCCAAATTAGGATATTAAGTAAAGATCATGTTCCATTGAAGATATTTTGTAAATTTCCTATTGTAAATATATCAAAACTTAATTTTTGATTAGTAATATGCATTGCTAAGAACTTAATTCGGACAACTTTAAAGGCAATTTTCTCAATATTTAGATTTTTTTGCACCGTCAGATTCCAGATTTTCAAATAGTTGTATCTTGGCCAAATATTGTCCAATCCTAACAATACCATACATCAATGGAAAGCTTATTTATTCAGCTTTCCGATGATGTATAAATCTCAATAAAAAAAAAATGTTGACCCTTAAGACTGGTCCAGGCTCACATTTATGTTTCTATAGATTTCAAATAAATTCTGTTCTTTTGACATTGTATGTATCAAAGTATCCTGGAAAAAGGGTTTGCCAACAAAAATATTAATCAGCACAACTGTTTTCAACATTAATAATAATAAGAAATGTTTTTGAGCAGTAAATCAGCATATTAGAATGATTTCTGAAGGATCATGTGACACTGAAGACTGGAGTAATCATCCTAAAAATTCAGCTTTGCAATCACAGGATTAAATTATAGCCTATTTTACAATATTAATATAGAATTTAATAGAATATTAAAACAGATTATTTTAAATTGTATTAATATTTCACAATATTATTGTCTTAATGTGTTTTTGATCAAATAAATAGGGCCTTGGTGAGTATAAGAAACTTTCAAAAACATTAAAAAATCTCATCAACCCCCAATTTTCGAATAGTAGCGTATTCCCATTAACTTTCAAGACAAGAAGATACAGACCAAATAACTGATATACTAGCCAGCCTGATTAATTGAATAATCTTTTTTTTTTTAATTGACCAATAACCATATCTGCTTGACTCATAAACAAAACTCAGTATTAACAAAATTTACTGACAGTCATATTAGTGGATATTGCTCTATTTCAGAAAATTGAAAGTGAATTTTGAGTAAGTAGTGAGTGACACAAATCATCTTCTATCTTATAAATTCTGTATTATTTTATCATACCATTCACCAACCACTTGCTCTCAAGATATCTCGTCAGCTATTGAAAAATCCATGCCGTTCGACCACTAGCTCAGTGAGTACAGTCATATCCAGTGTTCCTGGAAGACCTCTGAGTCAGAGAGAATGCCTGAGTATGCCTTCATCCCAGATCTGCTCTACTGCACAGGGAGCACAGGTCATCATGGCACAGATGCAGGCCGCTGTATTTTAGGATGTCAGGGGGCTCGAGGGAGGGGTCCTGCTGCAATGCATTCAGGATCAGCTTTCAAACACTCCCTGCACAGTAATACACATTCATACATTCTTCAAGAAGAGCACAGCTGACACGGCCTTTATTAATATAGGCCAAGAGAAAGCCAGTGGGAGATTAGTGGTTACTGTGATTTCCCCTCGAGCTTTATTGAATTCTTTTGCTCTGCTAGACAAGGAACTTCTCTGGAACTTACTGTATTTTTCTATTAAGTTATATCATTTGTTACAAAAATGAACAGAATGCACAAAGTTTCCTGTTATGTGCAGCAATCTATTGAAACTGATGTTGCTCTAGGTAGTTTTTAGTAGTAGAGAAGTGAAAATTCCATCTTCCATTAGTCAGACAGACCCATCCCAAACGGTTTTTTATATTAGCATTCAGATGGCTTACTTATAGTTGTCTTTGCATATTAAACTTTTTAGAAAGCATTTCAAAATATAAAAATGTGAGAAACGTCATCCTTTCATCGTGAATCTTTTGACATTATGAAGCAGACGTCATAAGGATGTGCTATACTGTTGGCCGTGTCAGGCTGACGGAGACCAATCTCTTTGGGTCACAAATGGCATGGCATGTTTAATATGCCGACAGGAGTTGATATGGGGGAGCAGAAGGAAAAGGAAATGACCTCTGAATAAATAGAACCGGATTCAAGCACTACCTCATACATGTTGGACAGGAAGTAGGGCAATCTGAACTAAAGGGAATGTGCATAGTAAAATCTGCTAGGAAATAGTTATGTCTTGTATAATGGAAACATTGTATGGAATAAAAGGACATTCGTTGAACTTTTGGCAGGTGTTTGTATGTGTGCATGGCAAGAAAGTAAAGTTCAGTCAATGACACACTCTCGGGAACTCATTGGGAGCCTCCTTGAATAAGTTTCATTTTTTATGAACAGTTACTGTATGTCAGCGTTCTTCATAGGGAAGAGGAACATGGAACTGATACTGAAAGCACCATTTGTGGTGGCCGGGGATCTAAGACCCTGTTTCTTGCCACCTTTTTAAGACACACATGCACATCTACACTCTTAAGACTGCGCTTTTCATTTGTTTAAAAGGAAAAATGCATTAAAAATCGTGAATCAGATGAATTAATCAAAAGTCTATGTCCTGCAAAATGTTCGACAGCTGCTGAAGAAGTTATTAAAGCAGTAATGTCATGCCGATGATTTTATCACAATTATATGTGGTTAAACCTGACACCAATGTATAATAATAATAATAATAAAAAATTTGATTTAATAAACAAGTTCATTAGTTTGACAGAAATTCAGATAAACATGGTACAGATAACTGTCTTTGCTTGTCGCTTTGTCATGTCTCATCTGTTTAGGACACAGTGACTGTAGGCCTTTTATGGTTTTCATACAGCTAACCTGGTACAGTCAAAGTCCCTTTAAAGGGTTAGTTCACCCAAAAATGAAAACTCTGTCATTAATTACTCACCCTCATGCCGTAATTTTACGAAGCTACGAATATAGCAAATTTCGAAAACAAAAATAACGACTTTATTCAACAATTCATCTCCTCCACGTCACCCTGGTGCCATTTTGGAGAGTAATTGTTGAATAAAGTCGTTATTTTTGTTTTCTTTACATACAAAAAGTACTCTCGTAGCTTCGTAAAATTACAGTTGAACCCCTGATGTCACATGGATTATTTTACCGATCTCCTTGCTACCTTTCTGGACAATCATGGTAATTACATTGCTGTCTATGGGAGGGTCTGAGAGCTCTCAGAATTAATCAAAAATATCTTAATTTGTGTTCCGAAGATGAACGGAGGTCTTACGACGTGAGGGTGAGTAATTAATGACAGAATTTTCATTTTTGGGTGAACTAACCCTTTAATACAAGTCATGTCACTCGGCGGCCATCTTTGAAACGCCTCTCGGGCATGCAAGTGCAACTCCTATGTCTTTGAATGGGGAAGCATGAAATTCTCCAAAACTGTTCACTAAACTTACAATTGGATTTCATATTTGAAATCACCAGAGAAATCTGACTCACCATTATCCATAGTTCTTCATTTGTTGTTTCTTTACATGAATTCAAATTACGTATAATGTGATTTTTTTTTAGCGCTTTCATTACAAAGAAAAACCACTTGTTACATTTGGTGTTGTTAGATTATGATATTTGTAAATTCTCGCCTTGGTCCCCACAAACACAAAGCCTGGCCTGCAAACCAGTAAAGCAGAAGTTGTGGACCATATGTGTTTGTATGTGTATGTATGATGTTGCCTGTTTTGTGTTGCTCTATGATAGGTGTTACAGAAGTTGGGAAAGGCGGATGAAACAAAAGACACAGCATTTGAGGAGGAAGTGGTCAAATTTAACAAGCAGCTGGTAAGAGCCTTAAACCTTCACCATCTCTGACCCCCCTCCTTAATATACTCCTTGCCTTGACATTTGACCTCTAACCCTCATCGTAGTTCTTAAATATCTAGTGGTGGTTTCTTCTCTCTGGTCTATATCTGCAGGCTGATGGCACCAAATTGCAGAAAGACTTGAAGGCATATATGGCGGCAGTGAAAAGTAAGACTCTAATTGTGTGTCTGTGTATATATTGTAATTAAAGAGATCAACGAAAGTTTAATTAACATTCAATTATCATTTACTCACCCTCATGTTGTTCCAAACCTGTATGACTTTCATTCCACTGTGGAACCCAAAAGAATATATTTTGGTAACCATTGACTTTCTTTGAAAGTCATTGAATATATTTTTTATGTTCCATAGAAGAAAGAAAGTCATAACATTTTTCTTACATGACTTGAAGGTGAGTAAATGATGACATAGTTTTCTTTTTTTGGTGGGGTTGGGGTGAGCTATGCTTTTAATGCCTTTGTAGTGGCATGTGACATAATTTAGAGAAAGCTAATCTAGTCAATTTTAAAGAAAACGCAAACACAATCATGTCCAAAAACATTTAAAAAAAGCATCTGTTCAGTATGGTCATTTTGCAAAAGTAGAGCCAAATGTGCAATCACTCTATCATGCACCTTTGTATTTAAATGCAGCCTTCTCTCAGATAAAATACAGGAACTTCTCTAAAAGCAAAACAGAAGATTGTGACTGAACATACTCAGTCCTGCATCTATAGCTGTACCTGCCTCCATGTGTAACAGATAAGGGAGTCACAAATTCTTTCTAGGTTGTAAACATGTGGAAAGTGTTTTCAGGTCTGGCCATACTGGTTTGCTCTTAAAGGGATAGTTCACCTAAAAATTAAACACTGTCATCATTTACTCGCCCCATGTTTTTTGTTCTTCCTTGTAACATGTATGTTTGACAAAATGTTAGTGCCAAATCTTTAAGGCAGCATTTTCATTTAAGGATGAACTACCACTTTAACCACTGGTGAGTGGTAGTACATTAAAGAATTGTAAAGTAAGCAGACAGCCTTCTTCCTTTTACATCAGACTCTAGTGTACTGCCCCAATGCACAACCCTATCGCCTCAGCTTCCTCCTCTGTGCCCACAGCAGTTCTCACTTCTCTGAAAGATGTGTGTTTGGTTGAGTGATTGAGCAGTCATCTGTGTCAATGTTTGTGTTCCGAAGATGAACGGAGGTCTTACGACGTGAGGGTGAGTAATTAATGACAGAATTTTCATTTTTGGGTGAACTAACCCTTTAATACAAGTCATGTCACTCGGCGGCCATCTTTGAAACGCCTCTCGGGCATGCAAGTGCAACTCCTATGTCTTTGAATGGGGAAGCATGAAATTCTCCAAAACTGTTCACTAAACTTACAATTGGATTTCATATTTGAAATCACCAGAGAAATCTGACTCACCATTATCCATAGTTCTTCATTTGTTGTTTCTTTACATGAATTCAAATTACGTATAATGTGATTTTTTTTTAGCGCTTTCATTACAAAGAAAAACCACTTGTTACATTTGGTGTTGTTAGATTATGATATTTGTAAATTCTCGCCTTGGTCCCCACAAACACAAAGCCTGGCCTGCAAACCAGTAAAGCAGAAGTTGTGGACCATATGTGTTTGTATGTGTATGTATGATGTTGCCTGTTTTGTGTTGCTCTATGATAGGTGTTACAGAAGTTGGGAAAGGCGGATGAAACAAAAGACACAGCATTTGAGGAGGAAGTGGTCAAATTTAACAAGCAGCTGGTAAGAGCCTTAAACCTTCACCATCTCTGACCCCCCTCCTTAATATACTCCTTGCCTTGACATTTGACCTCTAACCCTCATCGTAGTTCTTAAATATCTAGTGGTGGTTTCTTCTCTCTGGTCTATATCTGCAGGCTGATGGCACCAAATTGCAGAAAGACTTGAAGGCATATATGGCGGCAGTGAAAAGTAAGACTCTAATTGTGTGTCTGTGTATATATTGTAATTAAAGAGATCAACGAAAGTTTAATTAACATTCAATTATCATTTACTCACCCTCATGTTGTTCCAAACCTGTATGACTTTCATTCCACTGTGGAACCCAAAAGAATATATTTTGGTAACCATTGACTTTCTTTGAAAGTCATTGAATATATTTTTTATGTTCCATAGAAGAAAGAAAGTCATAACATTTTTCTTACATGACTTGAAGGTGAGTAAATGATGACATAGTTTTCTTTTTTTGGTGGGGTTGGGGTGAGCTATGCTTTTAATGCCTTTGTAGTGGCATGTGACATAATTTAGAGAAAGCTAATCTAGTCAATTTTAAAGAAAACGCAAACACAATCATGTCCAAAAACATTTAAAAAAAGCATCTGTTCAGTATGGTCATTTGGCAAAAGTAGAGCCAAATGTGCAATCACTCTATCATGCACCTTTGTATTTAAATGCAGCCTTCTCTCAGATAAAATACAGGAACTTCTCTAAAAGCAAAACAGAAGATTGTGACTGAACATACTCAGTCCTGCATCTATAGCTGTACCTGCCTCCATGTGTAACAGATAAGGGAGTCACAAATTCTTTCTAGGTTGTAAACATGTGGAAAGTGTTTTCAGGTCTGGCCATACTGGTTTGCTCTTAAAGGGATAGTTCACCTAAAAATTAAACACTGTCATCATTTACTCGCCCCATGTTTTTTGTTCTTCCTTGTAACATGTATGTTTGACAAAATGTTAGTGCCAAATCTTTAAGGCAGCATTTTCATTTAAGGATGAACTACCACTTTAACCACTGGTGAGTGGTAGTACATTAAAGAATTGTAAAGTAAGCAGACAGCCTTCTTCCTTTTACATCAGACTCTAGTGTACTGCCCCAATGCACAACCCTATCGCCTCAGCTTCCTCCTCTGTGCCCACAGCAGTTCTCACTTCTCTGAAAGATGTGTGTTTGGTTGAGTGATTGAGCAGTCATCTGTGTCAATGACTGTCTCTTAGCTGATCCGTTTTTTTTTTCCGCAGCCATGCACGAGTGTTCGAAGCATCTGCAGGACTGTCTGGCAGAAATGTACGACCCTGAGTGGTTTGGCAAAGAGGAGGTGGACTCCATCACAGAGGTGTGTAAGGAAGTCACTGGCAGAGCAAAACACTCTGTCTGGATTGTGTGACATTAGTGTTTTCAGTGTGAGAAATCTCATAGGAAAGTAAAATCTCTTTAATATGTCAGTTGTTTCTTGATTCTCACATACTATGCAAAAGGGCCACAGTAACCTTAAATTTGTCTTCAGAAGAGCCAGAGGAAAATGTTAATGATCATAGGAGACTAGATTCAATTTAATCAAGTCTCATACTTATCCCAGATGTGCTAAGATACCAAAATCTGCCAGCATTTGAATATAATTTTTTTTTTTTGAGAGAAAAGAATTATCACAGTTTACACAAATATATCAAGCAGCAAAACTGTTTCCAACATTGATAAAAATAAAATAATTATTGAGCAGCAAATCAGCATATTAGAATGATTTCTGAAGGATCATGTGACACTGAAGCCTGGAGTAATGATGCTGAAAATTCAGCTTTGCATCACAGGATTAAATTACATTTTAAAATGTATTCAAATATAAAACAGTTATTTTAAATTCTAATAATATTTCACAATATTATAGTTTTTAATGTATTTTGGATCAGATAAATCAGCCTTGGTGAACATAAGAGATTTCAAATTTTTTTTTACAAATCTTACAGCAGTGTATATTTTAATTCTAAATCCCAAAAATGAAAATATTCTAAAAATGTAGTCACCTTCAGGCCGTCTTAAGATGTAAATGAGTTTCTTCAGAATCAAACAGCTGATAAAAACAAAACAAAAGTGTGGATTTTTTTTTTGATCAGCTGTTTGGACTCTCATTCTGACGGCACCCATTCACTGCAGAGCATCCACTGGTGCAAAAATTATGTTATGCTAAATTTCTCCAAATCTGTTTCGATAAAGAAACAAACTCATCTACATCTTGGATGACCTGAAGGTGAGTAAATTCAGCAACAAAAAAAACCTGCAAATTTCCATTTTGGGTGAACTATTCCTTTAAGACTGTATGCAAGTGAAGGATTGCTGCTGTCCATACTGATGTTTAGATCATTGTTGACTTATTAATCTGCAAATTGATTGTGTTTTCTACATTTCTTTGATTTCTTCCACTCACCCATCCCTCTGTGAGTAAAGGAGATGATAGAGAAAGAAATGGATAATAATCTGGAGGTAAACATGACGGTCTAGTCTAGAGCTGGTGCTGGTGATGCTAGAGTAGTGCCACTGCAGTGAACTCTATTTTAGAATAGTTCTGTACACATATATTTAGACTTGTCATCAGTGGTTTGTCAGTGTGTGTGTGAGAGAGAGCGTGAGAGTATGTGTCTTGCTGTATGTGTCTGATCACATTTGTTTTACAGGACACTGACCTCCTGTGGCAAGATTTCCACCAGAAGCTTGTGGACGATGCCCTCATTTCCATGGACACATATTTGGCTCAATTTCCAGACATAAAGGTTTGTTTTTGCTTTAATAAGTGGTAGATGTAAGCATTTCAACATTTATAGGAACTAGTCAGTGATTTTATTGCTGTCCAAATTCAGAATGTTTTTTCTGAATGTTTTCTTTCAGAAAGAAAGAAAACATTCTTTCACCCGCGTGAAAATTCCCAGCTAAATTACCTACTGTTTTTTGACAAACACCAAGGTTGTGTGGTAATTTAATTGTGGTGTGAATCCACATCTCTGAGTTTACAAGAAGGGATCAATCGAAAAGTGGTTTTGTAAATGTCTTTTGATCGCTGCCAAGCACTGTACAGTAATGGTTGTGCTTTGCGGTAATGTGCATGCATTTTAAATATGGACACTTTTATGTTTACAAGGATTTTATTTAATCACAGTTCCAATGAATAGGAGCTGTTAAGAAAACAAAATCATGTATAATTTTTGAAATGGGTCATTATTAGGGATGCACCAATAGGAATTTTTTTTGGCTGATACCGATTTTAACAAACAACTATTGGCCGATTGGTAAATATGAGTTTGCTAATTTCCACATTTTAAAAATAACATCAATTTGAGAGCTAAAATGCAAGACTGAAAGCCATTTAATCTATAGTGCATTGATTATCCTATTTTTAAAATACTTAAAAAATATTTAAATAATAAAATAAATTATTGTCCTGTCATTAAATTAAATATGAGCAATCCAATCAATAACAGACATTTTGTTAATAGCTGACAATCATTTGACTGACAACATAAACAGCTCAATTGTAGCATCATGATGTAAATCACCATACGAATGCATGACTTTTATCAACGATGTTCCATCCCCATGAGAAACAATTATTGCTCAAATAGGGCTTTACACGGAAGTAGGGTTCTGGCCATATCTAGACACCAGCATGCAGATGCATTACATAGCAACACTCACAACCTTATAACAACACCCTGGGAACCATTTACAGCCATTATCTATTTACAGTAGTTAGTTACTGCTGTGTTAGATGGACTTGTGACTCTCTGACTCCCTCTGCAGACTCGCATCGCTAAGCGTGAAAGGAAGCTGGTAGATTTTGACAGTGCCAGACATCATTTTGCCTCTATACAGAAAAGCAAGAAAAAGGATGAGGCCAAAATTGCCAAGGTACCGGATGCTCGTTCCAGCTTGTTAATGTATGCTGTACCGTCTGGCTTTTTGTCCTTAAACCTTGTTAACTAACCAGCTTATTGCTATAACAATACGTAATTCATGTATTGCAGTCAATTTATATGCTTGAGTTAGTGTATGTGTGCATTTGCACAAGCTGTTATCTTGCTTGATGAGATTTGTGTGAGCTAACATCAGCACTTGAGTGTGTTTGTCGCCGTCTCTTTGCTGCACGTCTAGCCTCTGGCTCTGGTGGAGAAGGCTGCTCCCGGCTGGGCTCAGGGAATAATCACAGCACACCAAATCGCTCAAACTAACCTCTCGAGAAGCCAGGTGACTCATCTGTCACTCAGCCTGTAAACCCTCCCTTAATCTGCATAACTCCACCCACCTACTCACAGTCCACACCCACTCACAGCGTGGCTTCCTCATGTAGCATCTGTGTTCCTCAGGTGTATTTACTTCATGCTTTTGTATGTATGACATAAAAAATGATAGTTGATTGTTTTGTGTTATACAAAATAAAGTAATACAGTTTGAAATTACATGCGGTGAGTAAATGTTTTATGTTTGTTTTAAATGCTTTCTGCAGATTCCAGTAGAAAGGAATCAGATCACAGGGTCCATTTGTCCACCGTCTATTCATGCAGAGTTGAACGCATAATTCTTTGTATATGTATTTTCATAAATTATCATGTGTTTAGCCTAATGACCATGTGTGTTGATGTGTTTGTGTGTGTTTAGGCTGAGGAAGAGTTGGGCAGAGCTCAGAAGGTATTTGAGGAGATCAATTATGATCTCCAGGAGGAACTTCCCACCCTGTGGGACAGGTAATAACCAGCTATTCATCCTGCCATGATCTCTCTTATTCATCTTAAAGGAATAGTTCACCTAAAAATGAATAACCATCACATTGTTCTAAACTTTATGTGCTGCTGTTATTTTTTTTTCTGTGGAACACAAAAGGATAATTTTGTAATATTTTCACACATCTCTTTTCCATATAATAACAATTCGAAGCGATCACATCTGACAAGCTACAAAAAGGACAAAAATGCAATATAAATACAATATCTACAACAGAGAGAAAGACTTAAATTTTTGTCCTAAATTTCTGTTCCTCACACAAAGCTACCTTTGTTTGATTAAAAAGAGTAAAAAACGTAATATTGTGAAATATTTTAACTGCTTTGTAATTATTTTTACATTTACATTAAAGTCTTTACTGTCGCTTTTTTATTTAATGCATTCTTGCTAATTAAAAGTGTAATTTGTTTTCAATAAATAGGGTGTTATTGACCCTAAGCTGTTGACCTGTATGGCTTAAGTCATGCAATATAGCATGAGTCCTGTTTTTATGATACTTTTACATTGTTATTTGAGTTTGAGAGATCATAATGAACTGTCTTTATATGAAAAGTGGTGCAAATATTCTTCTTTTGTGTTCCACAGAAAAAAAAACAGCTGCATGATTTGAATAACATCATGACAAGTACATAACAGAATATACATTTTTTGGTGAGCTAAAACATTTTTTTCCCCTTTAAATGAACTGATGTTGACTTGTCGTTTTCTCTTTCTCCCTGCAGTCGTGTTGGCTTGTATGTTAACACATTCCAGAGCGTTGCCGGCCTGGAGGAAAAATTTCACAGGGACATGGGCAAAGTGAGCCAATAATAAGAGCCTTATTAACAAGGGATAAATGAGATTATTGTTGTTAGTTACCAGGGTATGTTGCACTCTCTCACACACAGCTGAACCAGAATCTGAGTGATATTATGACCAAACTGGATGAGCAGCGTCTAACCAAGTGAGTGCTTTTATCCTGGGATATTTCCTGTCTGTATAGACACTTCTGGTTTCCTGTAGTTTAGCACACAGATGTGCGAGTTCTTGTTTTCCTTGTAATTTAAACCAATGCACCCCCAAATAATCCACAGAAAAAGTCTCACGACAGCAAGCACTGGAAAGAGGTAACAGCTCTTATGTTTTATGTGTGTGTTTATGCAACATTAATTGCATTAAAGATGCACTTGAACAAGGTTATTTACACCACGCTCTCTCGTCTCATAAAATATCTCGTTTTGGTGTGTAGATCTTTTTAATGACGTTAGAAATTCAGCTGTTTTATTTTTTACATGGAAAAAACCCCCCAATGTTTTGTTGAGAGGCGTATGTTTTTCCTCCATTTGTAAAATAAAACAAAAAATTGAATTTTTGGTGCAAATCACAGCTGAATTATTAAAAATGCACTAACACTTGTTTGTTATTGAAAATTACTGCTTGCACGGGGCCGTGTGTACATGCTGACACAAAAAATAGAACTGCATGTCTGGAATGTCTTTGAAACGCAGTAATTGTGCATGGTAGTGATTTAAACCAATCTGCCTGCAGTATTAACACTGATCTCTGCTGCTACCTAGTGATCTATTTCAGTCAAGACACTCATGAACGTGTAGTATTTATTTACCAGTATGTGTTTTTCATGCAGTGAAGAAGCAGCCAATCACAACCTCTCAGAGTCTGGGTCAGACGCCCCTAAATCACCAGCAAAGGTACTGTGAGAGAGCTGATGTTTTTATGTGCTCTATGTTATGGTTATGTATTTGTGTTTTGTTTGTTTATAATGTCTTACATTATGTATGAAACTAAAGAAGCAGAAATAAAACCAAGCCCTTTTTTTATACATTTATACATTGCAATGGGGTTTAAATACGTTTTTAAATAAGTGATGAATCTCCTGATAGGAGAGAATGTTGATTTTTGTTCTCCTAAAAAAACTGGACATAACCATGTGAATACGTATGTGATATGATAAACGTTTTCTATAAGTGGCAGTGTTAGACCAGTATTTATAATTAACCTTACAACAGTGTCATTCTAGAGTTATTTATATACTATTATAGTATTTATTCATATTTTTAAATTTTAGTTTAAGTTTTAGGAATTTTGTTATGTTCTTTTGTCATTTTCATTCGTTTTAATAGTTCTATTTAGCTTTCATTTCTTTTTAATTCTGTTTTAGCTTTAGTTCCAGAGCTCAAACATATTTTGTTTCATTGTCAATACATTTATAAAAATATACATTCTTTTATTTCAGCTTTTTGTTATTTGAGCTATTTGTTTTTATATACTATTATAGTATTTATTAATGTTCAAAGAATTCTTTTGCTTTCATTTATTTATATTTAGTTACGTTTTTCATCTAATATTATTATATTATATTATATTATTTTAGTAGTTTTAGTTAACAATAACAACACTGCCTTACAATCGAGTCTGATTTGTAGATAATTAGGTAAACATGAGTGTGTTTAAGCAAACTTAAAGCATGTTACACACATAAAAACTAACAATAAGCGGTTGTGATTTGGTGTTTTAACCCTCAGTGTGTTATGTATTTTCCTCCTGCTTGTGTGTATCTGCATGTGTGTGTTGGTGTGGCAGTCCAGAGAAGGACCGCCGGTGTCACGGCCGCCCAGGCCAGCTTCATCTCAGGAGGTGAAACAGGACATCATCATTAACCTGCTTGAAGATGCAGTGGTGCCTGACATTAACAATTCAACCCAGCCACAGGTCAGAGGTCAAATGACTCCCTCCCTCCCCTGCTTATATAAGCACTCTCTTCCTGGCGTCATCTCCATTTCATTTATATATCATCTCCATCCTTAGTGAGCACATTCATCCTCCATTTTCACCCTAAATGTGACTGTTGTCATCTTATTATTAACTCTTTTCTGTTCATTCAACTGAAGTATCACTGGCTCTTGAGTTTGTCAGCATTACCATCTTCTGTTTCTGCAAACCAGTGATTCCACTAAATACTGTCACTGCTGTAGTAAAGCTGGTGTTTTGTGCTGTGCACAGCAGTGTAATGGTCCAGTAGTGTGTAGTCCGCTGGATTTAGATCTGGATGCTCGGCAAGCATTCAGTGCTGCTCCAGCCCACCAGTCAGGATGGCAAAGGGTAAAGGTCACGGTTCACAGTCAAGCAAAACCATTGCTGAATTTGGAACCACATACTGCTATTACTATTTCTGCTATAGAAATATATGGTAAAAGTAGTAAGAGTATGCTAGTAGTATGCAGTTCTGAGTTCAGCACATGCTGTGTCATCTAAGATGCATGCAACAGCTCGGCCTCTTGAGTTTTGAAGTGGATTGAAATTTCTGCATGTTTCCCCTTTGAGTTTTGGGGATCTGAAATGCCACTTTGGTTCAGCATGTAACACATTAACTGCTCGCATGTGATGCATGTGAACTTGCTTCCTACTAGTTCCCAAAACAAGGTCCAGGGACAGACAAAAATAAATAATACAAAAAATAAATAAAACATACACTACCATTCAAAAGTTTGGGGTCAGTACGATTTATTTGAACAAAATAAATAATTTTATCGAGCAATGATGCTTTTGAAATTTCTGTTCATAGATTCCTGAAAAATGTCACAGTTTCCAAAAAAATATTATGCAGGACAACTGTTTTCAACATAGATAAAAATGAGAAATGTTTCTTGAGCAGCAAATTAGCATATTAGAATGATTTCTGAAGGATCATGTGACACTGGAGTAATGATGCTGAAAATGCAGCTTTGCATCACAGGAATAAATTACATTTAAAATATAGTCACATAGAAAAGAGTTGTTTAAAATAATATTAGTATTCAAAATATTAAAGTTATACTGTATTTTTGATCAAAAATATGCAGCCTTGGTGAGCACAAGAGAACAAAAATGTACAAACCCCAAACATTTCAATGGTAGTGTATAAACAAATATTTTGGCTACTTTCTCTTTGCTGTCAGCTACTAATTGTATTGTATTACTCTCAGCTCTGTTTGACACATTTTACCGTGATTATATTCACTCCACTGAATTCCATCGATTTTCCCCTAAAATGTCAGCAAAAATGCAGTCTATAGATTCTGTCTGGGCTTATTCATTGTGAATATTACTGTATATTAATTTTCTTCTTACTCCTGTACATGGTGTTCCAGTATCCACTATTATATCACTTCACCTTTAACGAATGCTTTCCTCTCATGTTTGCTGTAATAAAAAGCACTATTATGAGCATAAGCTCCTGTCAGTGGGGTTTATGAGAGCTCTCTTCCTACTATTGTCATAGTGATGGACGTACTTTGCATTCTTATTATGGGCCTCATTTATCTCACTCTTTCATTTTGTGCTGCCTCATGGAAGGAGGCTTCATTGGAGGTAAGAAGACCTTGTGCTGTGCTGGCACTCTTGTGACGGATCAGATCCCTCTTGACTTAATCTTTGTGATTCTTGTGGTCTGATTGATCATGGCAGTGGGTTGCACTCAAAGAGCCAGAAATAACCATTTGATGGGGCTTTTGGATGAAATTCTTCTACAGTCTTTGAATTGACACACAAACAAACAGACGTTCAGCAAAAGTTAAGCCGCATCCAGTAGTTTTAATAGTCACAGTATGTCTCATGTTCAGCCAGGTCAGGTCAGTTGATTTCTGAGCTGAAAACAGACGTCCATTACAGACACAAGAACAAAAAAAATGCTTTGCTCAGGGGTTTACATGCACCTCTATTTAGGTTTGTGTGTGTGTGTGTGTGTGTGTGAATCTTGCTATCTGGTGAATTATATAATAACATAATATAATAATATTAATTATAAATTTATAATAAATATTAATAATAAAATAAATAAATAAATAAATATAATAACAGATTTCACTCGCTTTTCGGCCATATATTTGGACTTACAAGATTTATACTGTAAAAAATGTAATTAATTAAATTAAATTAATAATGTATTGTAATTGTCAGGGTCTTAAACCTAAGTAAAAATATAAATATAAATTTAGATGAAAAGTCTAAATTTATTTCAGTTAGTTGCAAGGCAACATTTCTCATTTTTGTTTAGTTTAAGTTGAAATGGTAAAACTGGAAATGAAGTAAAAACTAAAACTGAAATAAAAATAAATGAAACCTAAATAGTAATAAATGAAATAAACAAAAATGAATAAAAATGACATAACAAAATGACTAAAAATGTAATTAAAATTGAAATTGAAAGTCTAAAAATAAAAGCTAATTCAAAATATTAATAAAAAACTACAAATAATACTAAAATAACCATTTGGGGAGTTTAGAATGAACAGTAATTCACCTTCATTTTAGGGCTGCACGATTATGGCAAAGATCATAATTGTCGATTATTCCCTTGAAATTGTAATTGCGATTATTAATTACGATTATCACAATTTACATTGAATGATGTTTATACCATTGTTTGAAGCAACTGCATGCCATATTTTTATATGAAAATAAATAAGCTGAAAACACTCAAACTGAAAAACTTTTATTGCTTTTCTATAGCATTAAGGCTCAAATGTCAACTGTACATTGGATTGGTTTCTTCTTTAAATAATAAAAAAAGTAAAAATCTGAATGGTATTATAATGTTATACTAACACTAAAATTAAAACAATGGAAAACCCCTTAAGATGACCTGTAGAAAGAAAAAAACACATCTTAAGCTCTCAGAATAACATAAGTGGACTTTGAACGATTACGTAATTGTGGCATCCGTAATTGTAATCGCGATTAGAAATTCGATTAATTGTGCAGCCCTACTTCATTTATTCCCTTTTTCTTGCTAATTATTTGCACCTTTTGCCATATTGCCTGGCCTTTTCTCCCGCCATCTATTTTACCTCCCAAAATCCAACAAACAATCCTGGCGACCCTTCCTTCCCATCCCAGCCTGATCAGACCCCTGCTGCAGACCCCTCCCAGCAGTGGGACTCAGATGAAGAAGCTGCCGCTCAGACTTACGGCCAGCAGCCGTATGAGGCTCCTCAGTGGGAGGATGAGGTCGCTCCTGCCGTACAGCCGTATGAAGCTCCCTGCTGGGATGAGCAGGACAGCGTGTCTGCGCAGTCAGGCTGGAGCAGTGAAACAGCTGCTCCTGCACAGCCAGACTGGGACGACGATGGTGCAGTGCGCTGGGGCGAGGAAGGGTCCCAGGTAGGGCAAATGCAAGACGCAGATACAAACTGGGGCAGTGGTGCGGCTCAGGCTTGGGAGGCGGAGTCAGAGCCGCCTCAGTGGGAGGAGCTTCAAAGTGTAAGAGGAACAAGATTAATCGTGGTTGTATTGTGGAGTAATGTCATAGAGTTAGGATGGCTCAGAAGTAGATCATGTTGTTTGGTGGTTTGTGGCAGGTTTCCACTGTGGTCATGTTAAATGTCCGTTTTTTTTGTGTACATTTCTATATATAGCAGGTTTGTTTTATTCTGTTGAGTTGCTCAGGTGTAATTAAGGTGTTTCTCTTTATTCTTTGTATTTAGAATGAAGCGCCAACAGTGACAAATGGCTCATCAGATGCAGAGCTTCCTCCATCTGTTCTCTATAAGGTGAGATGCACTGAAAACCCAAGATCCCATAGGTTTACAATGGTAGTATATATTATATTATATTATATTATATTATATTATATTATATTATTATACAATATCACTGTATTTTACTGTATTTTGACCAAATAAACGCAACCTTTATATATGTCAAATTGATTAATTGTAATTAATCACATCCAAAAATAAAAGTTTGTGTTTACATAAGATATGTGTGTACTGTGTATATTTATATGTATATACATTAAATATATGTAATATATATTAATATTTATGTATAATATAAATCATATATAAATATTGTATATATTATACGTATATTGCATTTATATATACATATAACAAATATACACAGCATACACATATGTTATGTAAACACAAACTTTTATTTTGGATGCGATTAATTGCAATTAATCGATTTGACAACACTAATACACACACACACAGACACACACACACACACACACACACACAATTTATAATAATGATTTCTATATTTTAATATTAATAATTTTATTCTTATTTTGGCAAAGCTGAATTTTCAGCATCATTACTCCAGTCTTCAGTGTCACATGATCCTTCAGAAATCATTTGAATATGCTGATTTGGTGCTCAAGAAACATTTCTTATTACAGTTGACAACAGCTGTTCTGCTTAATATAATATATATAATAATATAATACTAACGGCTTGTTTTCTTAAAAAAAAATTAACACTAGCTTCTCTATTCTTTTTGTATTCTGTCTATTTGTTTTCTTTTGATTTATTATACAATTAACAAAGCAAAAAAGGCCTCTAACACTAGCTTGCTCTATTCTTTTTCTAATCTATCTGTTTTCTTTGTATTTATTACATCATTTAAAAAAAAAAAACCTTCCTACATATACTGCGTTAGGTTAACTGAGACTTGTTATAGCACTTGCATATCATTGCTCTTTTGTTGATTTTGATTGCTTCCATTGTCCTCATTTGTAAGTCACTTTGGTTAAAAGTGTCTGCTAAATGGCTAAATGTAATATTTTTTTCAGGATTCTTTGATGATTAGAAATTTTATATGAAATTGAAATTTTAATTCTTTGTAACAATGTAAAAGTCTTTACTGACACTTTTTTTAAAATCAATTTAAAGCATATTTTCTAAATAGCAGTATTCATTTCCTTTTATAAAAGTTTGCTAAGCCCACATTTTTGACTGGTGGTGTATATACAGTATATATCTAGCTTGCTCTATTCTTTTTCTAATCTATCTGTTTTCTTTGTATTTATTACATCATTTAAAAAAAAAAAACCTTCCTACATATACTGCGTTAGGTTAACTGAGACTTGTTATAGCACTTGCATATCATTGCTCTTTTGTTGATTTTGATTGCTTCCATTGTCCTCATTTGTAAGTCACTTTGGTTAAAAGTGTCTGCTAAATGGCTAAATGTAATATTTTTTTCAGGATTCTTTGATGATTAGAAATTTTATATGAAATTGACATTTTAATTCTTTGTAACAATGTAAAAGTCTTTACTGACACTTTTTTTAAAATCAATTTAAAGCATATTTTCTAAATAGCAGTATTCATTTCCTTTTATAAAAGTTTGCTAAGCCCACATTTTTGACTGGTGGTGTATATACAGTATATATTTATATATATATATATACATACAGTGCTGTTGAAAGTTTGTGAACCCTTTAGAATTGTCTATATTTCTGCATAAATGTAACCCAAAAAATCATCAGATTTTCATGCAAGTCCTGAAAGTTGACAAAGAGAACCCAATCAAACAAATGAGGTGAAAATATATACTTTGTCATTTATTTATTCAGGAAAATGAACCAATATTACATATCTGTGAGTAGCAAAAGTATGTGAATCTCTAGGATTAGCTGTTAATTTGAAGGTGAAACTAGAGTCCATCTGTTCAGAGGTGTTTTCAATCAGTGAGATGACTATCAGGTGTCAGTGTTTGCCCTGTTTTATTTAAAATCTAATTCTGTTTTGGGTCATATTTATGCAGAAATATAGAAAATTCTAAAGGGTTCACAAACTTTCAAGCAGCACTGTATATATACCTTATATATATATATATATATATATATACATAGAGAGAGAGAAAGAGAGAGAATTTACTAACATGATTTTTGGTAGGTGAAAGTGATGCATGACTATGGAGCAACAGACAGCGATGAACTTGATCTGAAGGCTGGTGACATTGTGCTTGTGCTTCCCTTTGCCAACCCAGATGAAGAGGTCAGTCATGGCACCCATGTTTATACATGCACATACAATCGGACAATGACTCATTGTCTTTTTGTTTGTGTGCGCAGGATGATGGCTGGTTAATGGGCGTAAAAGAGTCACACTGGCTTCAGAATAAAAACCTCCTAGCTAAAGGAGTCTTCCCTGAAAACTTCACCCAGAAACTGTGAGCGGAACAGTCCTCTCAGAATCACCTGTTCTTATACTTAGTTTTCTCACCACTTTACTGTGATAACATTTTTTATAAAACATCTTCAAAAATAAGGGCTCCTCAAGCAAAAAAAAAAGAAAAGAAAAAAAAAAGCTCTATTCTATATACTGTGGTCACTTGGGGTAAGAATAAATAATAAAAGGCATTAGATGATATTTGCAGCAGCATGCTTTACACAACTTCATGAAGTAATATGGGCCACGTACACACTGCAGCCAAACTCACTTGTCAGTTCATCCTTTAAAGCCTAATCCTGATCTGTCCACACAGTTCAGTAATTTACGGTAGTGACAACCACATTTACAAAACTTCTTCGCAGTTTGTATACAACTGAAGAGAACAACTAGATGTTAATGATGTGTTTGAACTAGATATGTCGCTCTGCTTTATGCACAGTGCAAGAAAGTCACAGGGAAGCAGATACGCCTAGCACCTTGACTTACATATGTTGCCAGGTCTTGCTAGAAAAAAACAGCAAACAAGAACAAGTAAAAAATAAACCTAAATAAATCCAAATGATTTATATTGGAAATAAGAGAAAATATTGCAACCTGCACCATAAACTGGATCGCTTTATGAGCGAAACCATAAGGCCAAATACGCTGATAATAAGTGGACATGGCAACACTGCAAGAACATGCTCTGTGAAGCAGACTTTCAAAAATAAACAATGCCTCTGTCAACATTGATTTTGTTAAAATTGTTGAATGTAATGTGTATTTGGTTGCTGTAGTATTACTTTGGTCAAAAATAGCGGATACTAAACACGCAAGACTCCAAAACGTTAAAGGGGTCATATGATGTTGCTAAAAAGAACATGATGTTGTGTATTTGGTGTAATGCAATGTGTTTATGCGGTTTAAGGTAAAAAAAACCACATTATTTTCCACATAATGTACATCATTTACTCTACACTGCTCAAAACTCGCAAATTATTTAAAAATAAAAAACGTACTTAAAGGCTGTGAGTCAGAAGCGCCAGACTGTCGTAGTTTCGCTTTCACAACGAAACACACAACGAAACTTCACGACATGGCGGCAGCAACAATACTACAGTGAGAATAAAAGTTACGCCTTCTTTCTTTGCGTGAACATTTGGGCGGCGTTATGCAAATCTTCCCACATAGTGAGGTAGACATGTGGGGGCGTGTTTAAACGAGCCGTTTTAGGTAGGCGTGGTTGACTATTAACTTTTATAAAGAATATCTCTTTGGATTTGAGACTTTAGTCTTTGCAACTTTACAGATCTTCTTTATGCACCAAGAGCTTGTAACACTCCAAAGAGAAAGGAAAAATTGAAATCGCATCATATGACCCCTTTAAGATTACCATGGTGGCAGTCGTTGCAATTTCAGCACTGAGTTCTGCTGCAGTACACACATGAATTGATCATTTAGGGGATTCAGTCCCGTATTTTAATGGGTTGTCACTCCGGAATCTTTACAGTGTGAACATGGCCATAGACACAATTAAAAAATCCCTAATAGGGATGAAGACTGGGGCCGATTTGATTGGTTTTTGTCAATGGGCCATTTTGGGAAGATATAAAGCATCAGATTTTTTGCCCTAAACTGAATATGACACACACCAATCAATGTATCTCAGTGAAATCTTTTACTCTATTGTTTAAAGTCAACATGAAATTACTGTGCACAATTCTTCAGTGCTTGTTCCACATACTGTAAAATAAAAAAATGTGTTAGATACTGTTTCCACCAAGTATAAATAGAAACAAATAGCATCTTGTACACTCTAAAAAATGCTGGGTTAAATATAACCCAACCACTGGGTCAAAACAACCCAATAGCTGGGTTTGTCCCTTTTTAACCCAGCGCTGGGTTATATTTAACCCAGCATTTTTTAGAGTGTATACAAGTGCAAAGAGTGACAGATGCTCTTCACACAAAGTGTAAATAGAATACACTATTTGTACTCTAGGTAAAATATCTGGTGGGAAAAAAGGTTGGCTTCCTGCGTAGCCTGGTGATGTCACAAATCTCTGTCAGTATCTCTCAAACCAATCAAGTCCTGAAGTCCAGTACACTCTAAAAAATGCTGGGTTGTTTCAACCCAACTTTGGGTCAAATATGGACTAACCCAACCGTTGGGTTAAAATTTTACATCAAATTTTTAACCCAAAAGTTGGGTTAGTCCATATTTGACTCAAAGTTGGGTTGAAACAACCCAGCATTTTTTAGAGTGTATATTCTGTTTTATTCAGAAATATGCCATATTTCAGGAAAAACGTGGGAAGTGCAAACTCCATTTCATGTTGAATTTAAAATCAGGGACAAAGGACTCTTTTGCTGGTTTTATTATCTCTAGAGTCTCCTGTACATGTAGAGCCCCGTCCCTTCAACTCTTACAATAGTTTAACATGTTGTTCCCTAGATAGGGTTTCTAGCACTGCACTGCATGTGAGGGGTTCATCTCAATAATTTTATGATCAAAAACTTCATAATATTTATGTTTTTCTTTGTTCTGTTATAAAGGTCTTCAGGTATATGCCACCAAAGATTATGAAAATGATACAATGGGACAAACCACTGTGTTGTACTGTATGAACAACAGTTTGCTTGAAACACATTTTGCAATGTATTTTAAAAACAATTTAAACATTTGTCACGGTTGCATGAATGTTTTATAGTTCCTTTTAGACGGGTGCACAAAAGCTTTATTCTTAAAGAACTGGAGAAGATCAGACATATCTCATTTTCATGATCTTACTAATATTTAAAATAGAAAATCATGTCAAAAATATAGATTTTTTTTTATTTTCATATTGATCTGGGAAAATGTAGCCTGTGATACACTGATAGGGTGGAAACACTGAATGAACTGAGCGAGATTTATTCACATACTTTACTGAGATAGTACAGTATCACTCCACCACTGTAATCTGGGCCGGATTTTTTATTTAAAAAGGCAAAATTGTGCTCATCTGCACCCGCATCTGGTTATATGCCTGATTATAACACTCTTCTCTGTCATTTGATGAATTACCACTGCCATTTTCAATAGTAATATATACACTAACGTCTCGTTTTAATCTTTTTAAAATTCAGTTTTCTATGTTAATCTCTGTTGATATGTTTATTAAATCAGGATAAATAATGCACTGCATCGTTGAGAAATGACAATGATTTATATTCAGTATTCAGCACATTTAGCACCTGATTAAAATGGATTGGTTGAAATGCTACAAAATCGGGCCCCTGTTTTAATGCTTAATCTGTTATCAAATGTACAGGGAATCTGCTTTTGCCAAAACAGTGTAGAATCTCCCAAGTAGAGTAAATTAGCTGCTATTTTGTGAACTCTTATGTATTGTCGACTCTGGCATTGTCAGTGTGTACTGTGTAAATCTAGAGTTTATATAATATCTCTCTCTGACCTGTTTACATAGCAGAGCTGTAATTTTCTTACCTGGTAAGCTCTATATCTGAATCGGTTTTGAATATTAAAATATTTATCAGGCCTTTGAGCAAACAGCTGCAAGAGGTCTAGTCTATTCATGTGAATGAAAAATGTGTGAATGTTGAAAGTGACTCCAAATATCTGAATGGCGAAGGTTCTGATATTTAAAACTGAGATGTTTCACATGAAATATATATACATTTCATCAGAAAGGGAAAATGTCCTGCAGCATTTTGGTAGCTTAGGATGTCTTAACATGCAGTTCTCTGTAAGAAACACCCTATCAAGAAGCCTTCAAAAAGCATATTAAAATTTAAATCACAACTTATATAGCGTCCTTTTGTTCATTTCACATCATAAATCCACCTTTGTTATGGGATATATGTGATATTACCAACCAAAATAATAGTAAACTGACAGCACTTTAATAACCTTATTCATTGGCTTACAGAAATGTAAGTCTATGAACTTCAGAATACATAACACAGGTTATAACAGCTACTAACAATTTAAACAAAGCTCCAGCCTCCCCAGTCTGACTTGATTACATGTTTCCTGTGCATTTATTGTCATGGGAACAGTCTGGGAACAGATGAGAAATGTTTGTTCCTGGGCTCCATGGCCACCCAGCCGGTTAACAATAGTTTAGACTTAATTAGTGTACAGATATGACATAGCAAGTGCTTCGGGTGAGCTGGGGACAGTTTGCACCACTTATGTAGAGACAGAAACAAAGAGAAAGAGCTTTTAGAGAAGTAGATTTGGCTGATAGTATACTTTTGAGTGTAACTGGATAAATGCACAAAATGCTAAAACACATGAAGAAGACAAGGGTAAAAAAAAACACATGCCATATCAAAAACAGCGCAGGCCATTTACATGCCACGTTTCAAAAATGCTAAATATAACCACAATGCTTTAAAAATAGCTCTAATTCCAAGAGAATAGAGTCCACACTAAAACTATAATGACAGACGTTCAATATCGCTGGAATCACTTTCAGAGCGATTTTTTTCCAGCTAATTGACAACAGTGTGAGCCAACAAAGATCCATTCAACTTTTAAGCATTTAGAATAAGCATAATGTTATTGTCTGTTGGCGTGGATGCTAATATAGTTATCATTAGTTATCGCTACAGTTTTCATTCTTAGTGTGAACAGGCCTTTAGAGTTAATCACAGTGTGTGTCAAATGTTCAATGCTATTGGAACATAGATTAAGTTCACTCTCTTTTCCCCCCTAAGTTTTTAGATGGTCCTTACATCGGTGATATAAACCTCACCAAAGATGTGATCCACCAGTGCAGGGTTAAATATTAATGGCTGTGGGTGAGTGGACGAGTGTTGGCCTGTTAAGAGTGTGTCTTTTGCAGGAAACAAGAAGCACTGGGATGTGACTAGGCCTGTTTGTTCAGTGCACCGCGGTCATTTAACATTCACATAATTGGGCTTAACCCTTCAAGTTGCCAACAACAAACCATGTTACCGTGGCATCAGCTTGCTCTTTATATAGTGATGATATTGTCACAGAGAACATACACAACATTTCTCAACTGGACTCTTGACGTCGGCCAGAGGAAAGTTCTACAATGGTAGGATGTTTTAAATTATTTCTTTGTCTGATGCATTATTTATAATACTGAACAAATGTACTTGACTTTTAATGAATGGTCTTAGTCTTCATGTCTGCTTTTGTCAACAATTAATTTTGTCTCAATTTTGATTGTCTTGGTTTTTGGTTTTGGGTTTGTGTTATGAAAATTAAAATAGAAAGCTACATTTTCCCAAGAGACTTTTACTTTTAGTAGGTTTAAACATGCTTCTCATTTACACCCTAGCGTGAGTGCATCTCAGTCCATGTCGGCCAGGCAGGTGTGCAAATGGGCAATGCATGCTGGGAGCTGTATTGCCTAGAGCATGGGATCCAGCCAGATGGTCAGATGCCAAGTGATAAAACGATTGGCGGGGGCGACGACTCCTTTAACACCTTCTTCAGTGAGACTGGTGCTGGAAAACATGTTCCTAGAGCTGTCTTTGTTGACCTGGAGCCCACTGTCATTGGTAATGAAACTGATTCTCTTTGTATAATTCAATTCTACAGTGAAGAAGTGTCTTAGTTTTTTCCCTCAATTTAGCGTGCATCGAATCAAGAGTAATCTGACGTGAATATATGGCGCAATTTGATTTTCTAGATGAGGTGCGCACAGGTACCTACCGCCAGCTGTTCCACCCTGAACAACTGATCACTGGTAAAGAAGATGCTGCCAACAACTACGCTCGTGGGCACTACACCATTGGCAAGGAGATCATTGACCTGGTGCTGGATAGGACTCGCAAACTGGTAAGAAAATCTTGGGGTCAAAAGTTGGCTTTATCTTGGGTGTTGAATTAGGGTCTACAGTAAAGTAGACCCTAAAGAACTAAAGTAGAACAATCCTGGCCAGTGATTGTAGAAATAACTCATGTAATCCTGCAGGCTGATCAGTGCACTGGGCTCCAGGGCTTCCTGATCTTCCACAGTTTTGGTGGTGGCACCGGCTCTGGGTTCACCTCCCTCCTAATGGAACGGCTCTCTGTTGACTACGGGAAGAAGTCAAAACTGGAATTTGCCATTTATCCAGCTCCTCAAGTGTCCACTGCGGTGGTGGAGCCCTACAACTCCATCCTTACCACCCACACCACCCTCGAGCACTCCGACTGTGCCTTTATGGTGGACAACGAGGCCATCTACGATATCTGCCGTAGAAACCTCGACATCGAGCGCCCCACCTACACAAACCTCAACAGGTTGATCGGTCAAATCGTTTCCTCCATCACAGCATCCCTGCGTTTCGATGGAGCCCTGAATGTAGATCTGACCGAGTTCCAAACCAACTTGGTGCCGTATCCACGTATCCACTTCCCTCTGGCCACCTACGCCCCAGTGATCTCCGCAGAGAAAGCCTACCATGAGCAGCTCTCCGTTGCAGAAATCACCAACGCTTGCTTTGAGCCAGCCAATCAGATGGTGAAATGCGACCCTCGTCACGGCAAGTACATGGCTTGTTGTCTGCTGTACCGTGGAGATGTGGTTCCCAAAGACGTCAACTCTGCCATCGCCACCATCAAGACCAAGCGTACCCGGAGAAGAGGGAGAGGAAGAAGGAGAGGAGTATTAAAGGAATCCCTATCTTGTCAAGAAACATCACTGATAGCTTTCACAGCAGTATTTTCACTGTAACAAAATATTGTTTTATGTTTCCTATGCTAATTTGAAAGCTGTATTTGATATGTAGAGTATGTGCTTGTTTTCCCTCATATTTTACTGATATTGGTTATTGATATTGGAAGTTGTCAGTCTGTTTTTGTTTGTCTATGTTCAGTGTATGAATATGAGCAAATCATCCACATGACTTATAAGGCCAACGTCCAAGTGCATGTGACAGACCATAAAGGTTAAGGTGATATCTTTTAAAGACTTCATATTGACTTTTTAGTTGTTTGTCTATTTCACTGAGTTGGCTGTCATAAAACTCAGTTCATCAGCAAATAAGATAACCAGTTGCTAACAACAGTTACCATAGTGACTAAAAGGTTTAAATGTTACCACGCTAACCACAGTGCTAACAGCTTTTGTTTTCTTGGTTTAAGTGCTTTGGGGTAAGAATAAAAGATTGGGCGGTCCTGTGCCACCTGAAGACGGCTTGTGTAATGTCTTTGTAATTCGACTGCCTGAAGACTAAGAGAATGCAAATGGTGAACACACTGAAAGGGTGGCATGGAAGCAATCAACAAAAGTTTTTCATTCTTTCACAATTTGCATGCCTTTAGATCATGAGTCAGTCAAGTCTGTTTCAGCATGCCTGAGATGCCCTTGCACAGACTTGAAGTTTAAAATCATGTTATACCAAATTGAAATTTGAAACATATCAGTTGTTGAATTAAATGACATAAGTGTCACTTTAAGATCATTTCTAGACAACAGTCTTTTTAACAGTAAATCTTATGTAGAAACAATTTAAGCTGTAAAAATGACCAACATAAAAACTTCACTTCATTTGCTACCTTAACTTTTTAAGTATAATCAACTTGTACAAGTGATTTCAACTGACTTAAAAATCAAGTTGGATTTCATATAACGTCCAAAAAAGTTAAAATTGCTCAACTTATTTTGATGAGTTTATGTAAAAACATAATAGCCACGACTTCCTGGTCATGTAAAAAATTTGAAACATATCAGTTGTTGAATTAAATGACATAAGTGTCACTTTAAGATCATTTCTAGACAACAGTCTTTTTAACAGTAAATCTTATGTAGAAACAATTTAAGCTTTTAATTTAATTTTTTTCATTTGCTACCTTAACTTTTTAAGTATAATCAACTTGTACAAGTGATTTCAACTGACTTAAAAATCAAGTTGGATTTCATATAACGTCCAAAAAAGTTAAAATTGCTCAACTTATTTTGATGAGTTTATGTAAAAACATAATAGCCACGACTTCCTGGTCATGTAAAAAATTAGGAAATTGGTAAAAATGGACGTTCTGTCTAGATTGATTTTTTTATTTTAATATATTTGAAATATTTCTAGCACTTTATCCTTTTTAAGAAGGTTTTTTCATCAATGTGAGGTGAGATTGCAAATAGTCCAGACAAGGTAAATTCCACAAACAATGGTCTAATTTACATTGAAGATCATCTATTTGGATGCAAAGCAAGCACTTAACAGCTAATTATACATACAGCTCTTTTTATTTAACTTTTTAAAACAAATCTGCCCTCGCCCTGTCTTGACGCAGAAGGAATATAGACACTTTTCCTCTAAAACCAAATGACTTTTTATGGTCTCTCACATTCAGGACATTCACATTCATTACTAATATCATTTGAACTTGACCCTTTCATAGCTTCTTTCCTCTCATATGCTGGCACAAATGTACTGCCCTCCACTTAAAAACACCAACGGCCCTACCAGGCATTCCAGACATTCTCCGCTGAGTCCTTCTCTAAACATTTAGACTTATCTAAAGCCACAAAATCTTGTGTGGGGAAAGAGTGAGAAAGCATTATTGCAGTCACTGTGTTTGATGTGAACATATACTGTACAATACTGTCTTCCAGAGAACATCTGATGAGGTTTTCTGCAGAGCAGATCTGGATACAGAACATATATCTGTCAACGTGCAAAGTTTATCACAGCTAAACGTGAGGTTGCAACATGTTTTCAGACCTAATTAAATATGTTCTGGTCTTCTATAGCAAATACTCTTTTAGTAACTTGGAAGAAATTAAGTTTCAGAAATGATTTGTCCTTTAGGTGTCATTCAAAAATAAAGCCTACTATTTTATGAAAGCAACATCTGGAAATACGTTTTATATTAGCCTATTATGTGAAAGCAATAGGTTTTGTGAAAGTTGATGAAACATGAAATGTTTTTAACAATATCTTTGAGCTTGCTGATATAACAAAAAAGCTAAGCTAAGAGAAAAGTATGTAGCCATACAGACCAGGGGATTTCAGGCTTCAGTGATCTCGCGTGAGGGACCCTATCCTAAAATTTAAAATTCAGCTACATATATTTGTGTGTGTGTGTGTGTGTGTGTGTGTCTGTGTGTGTGTGTGTGTGTGTGTGTGTGTGTAAAAACCCATTTATACTGCGAAAAAATTACATTAAAAGTAATAAAATATTATTTCTAAAGTACATAGTTTCTATGTTCTTTCAAACTCTAAAAGATTAAACTATTATGTTATTAAACTATTAATCTTATTATTTAACATTACAGTTTTAACACTGTTTTTCTCTGAACTTAGCCTATTGCCCAACGCCTTAGCACTCCCCTGAGTCTGAAAACCTCATTTATGATACAATTATATTGTGGTGTTTAGTCGTTTTTTTTTTGTTTTTTTTTAAGGCTTGACATTCACTTTACATTCACATTATATTGAAAAGAACTTTGCCAAATATAGTTTTAAAAAATCTACTTTTTGTGTTCCACAGATGAATTTGGGACAATATGAGAGTTGAATAATGACCATAGACTGTAGATAATGACACTTTTAATTTTTTTTAGTGAACTATTTCTTTAGGTAAACTGTTCACCATATTACATTAAAACCCTTGTAAATCTGACCTAAACAGAACCTAACACCTGTCTTTGTCTGGTGTGGTGATAAGAGTTTATAGTGGATATTATTAAATATATATCATAAAAACGGCCTCACTTATTAATGTCCAATATTTGCATATGGTGTAAATTAGGTTTTTGTTTATTTATATGTTTTATTCTTTTTACAGTTTAAATTAAAAATCCCCTCCCTTGATTTACTCGGCTCTGCTTGGCACTTTCCATCCACTCTCAATCCTTCTCTGATTGGTCGCTTCACACATCAAGCTCCGCCCAAATGTTCCCTCCTCTTCTTCCTCGTGACCGTTAACTGCCGCTCCCGCCAGAGCCCCGCCTCTCCTCTATCCGGTCGCGCGCCGTTATATAAACTTAGAATTAATGTCATTTGCATATGGTGCAAATTAGGTTTTTGTTTATTTATATGTTTTATTCTTTTTACAGTTTAAATTAAAAAACCCCTCCCTTGATTTACTCGGCTCTGCTTGGCACTTTCCATCCACTCTCAATCCTTCTCTGATTGGTCGCTTCACACATCAAGCTCCGCCCAAATGTTCCCTCCTCTTCTTCCTCGTGACCGTTAACTGCCGCTCCCGCCAGAGCCCCGCCTCTCCTCTATCCGGTCGCGCGCCGTTATATAAACTTAGCCTGGCCCTTTCCGCAGCAATTCTGCCTTCATTCTCCGAGCCTTAACGTCGGTCTGAAGGAAAATCTGACAAAATGGTGAGTCTTAACTTCACGTCTATTTTCCGTAAATAGCACAGACGATTATTTTCTGTGTGGAAACCGTTCTTTTACATCCTGAGATGAACGTGTTTAGTACGAAATGACTTCAGTGAGTTTTGTATAAAATGTAAAGCACCTCTCTGTCTTAAATATAAGACTGAAGCTATGTTAATTCGTTTAATCTCGGTGTTTAGTGATGTTTAACAGTATTTAGGGCATTGGGCGGTCGCGAGACAAATGCGCGCGCACGTTTTAACGGCAGGGGCTGTGGCAGTCTGGCGCACTAAAGACGCAGAACAAAGAGAAAGCAGCAGAAGCCAAAACAATTTATTTAGAAAATGTATAAACGTCCTCATAAGATACATATATTACTTATTCAGAAATGGTATAAGTGTTATAAATGGTATAGCTTGGTGAAGGAAAATCTGACAAAATGGTGAGTCTTAACTTCACGTCTATTTTCCGTAAATAGCACAGACGATTATTTTCTGTGTGGAAACCGTTCTTTTACATCCTGAGATGAACGTGTTTAGTACGAAATGACTTCAATGAGTTTTGTATAAAATGTAAAGCACCTCTCTTGTCTTAAATATAAGACTGAAGCTATGTTAATTCGTTTAATCTCGGTGTTTAGTGACGTTTAACAGTATTTAGGGCGGTCGCGAGACAAATGCGCGCGCACGTTTTAACGGCAGGGGCTGTGGCAGTCTGGCGCACTAAAGACGCAGAACAAAGAGAAAGCAGCAGAAGCCAAAACAATTTATTTAGAAAATGTATAAACGTCCTCATAAGATACATATATTACTTATTCAGAAATGGTATAAGTGTTATAAATGGTATAGCTTGGGTTTTTGTTAGATGCGCGAGAGGGTGGAGGAGCAGACACGTCAGAATTTCAAAGACGCGGATAAAAGTCTCCAGTTAAGGCGCGCGATCAGATATCGCGCCTTTTTCTTCTAACGTTACTCGTTTCTTGTCACTGAATAATACAGAAAACTGGGTTGTACACGATGGGTGGGGGAAGGGCCCAGCCCTGCCCTTCGGGTCTCTTTCCCTACACCGCGGATCCTTAAAAGGCCTTAAAATGTCTTAAATTCGGATTCGATGGGTCTTAAATATTTCTGGTCACATTACCGCTAAAATATCTCCAGTCTGACGGACCTAATGACTGTTTACAATCATTGAACAGGCCAAAGATTTTATTCTTCCCTCGCGCGGTAGTTCCTGCATCATCAGACAGAATCGCAGTAGCAGAATGCAGGTCGAACTAACGTTAACATTACGTTACCTTCTTTGTTTATATTATGTTCTTAATAATAATATAGGTCGAGCTACAGCTGACCAGCCTTCTAGCTAACGTTAGTTTAAAATGTTTTTTTTTTTTACTTGCTCGACCGGACAAATATTGTTTTTGTTACACTGTTTTATTCTATTTCACTAACGAAAATAGTTCCAATCAAAGATCACAGCAGAAGTATCTCACAGTCTCCAAGAACACTCGGCGGTGTTTTGTTACCGAATGATTCAGCGTTTTGAATGAATCGGTTGAATTAGGTAAATGTAAAGGTAAATAAAAATATGCAGATTTAAGGATGTAAAAGCTGATAGAACACTGATGAAAATATTGCTTCAGAATAAATTGTTTACACCACCAAAAATCTCGGTAATGCAGTACTTTTGTGGGGAGTTAACTGTATATCGTAGTAATAAACATTTTGTTTTCTTTTTACATGAAACACATTGAATATTACATATATATATATATATATATATATGTGTGTATGTATGTATGTGTGTGTGTGTAATATAATGTGTATTTCCATCACCGGTTTAGGTCTTAAATTTCATATATATCAAGGTGGTATTAAAAAGTCTTAAATTCAGCTTCAAACGTCAAACCCTGCTGACGCAATAAATCTCGTTCTGTGTTTCATATGACAAAATGAGTACATGACATTCAAAGAGCAGTACTGTGAGAGTAAGAGAACAAAATGGCTATATTTTACACTCTCCCTATCCTTTGGGCCTGGTCAGCATTTAAGCCTGCATGCGTTCATGCAGATAAAAACGACTGGAACAGCTGCAGTGTGGCTGGTAGGGAGCTGGTAATGGTTATTGATCAAGCGGCTCCCCCTCTCTCGTGAAGCCAACAAGGAAGTGACTTAAACTGTAATTCATCAACTGGCCGCTAGAGGCTGGCTGCAAAAGGGAGTCAATCCCATAGACTCCCCATGTTAAAATGCCCAACTTTACAGCAGAAAAAAACATGTTTACAGCCTGGTTCAAAAAATTATTTTGGTCTATATAGCTAATTTTGCCCTTCATGACAACTGTGAGGGGTGGTGAATTTTTTTATAACTCATCCGTTTAAATTATATTAAGGCTTGAAAAGTTCTGCATAATTAAGGGCATGGCCACTTGAGTGACAGGTGGATTGCCGCTGCTGTCACCACCGTCGAGCTAGGTGGGCGTGGTTTCAGCAACCTGCTCCCGCCTCTTTGCCCATTTTCGATTATCCGGGAGTATTGTTAGGAATTTGTAATGCTACAGTGAAAACAATGTATACTGTCACATCACTGCATTCAAACAATGGCACTGTTCAACAGCTTTCCAAATGAAAAGAAAAACATTCTGCCCTGTCATTCTGCACCATTTCCATTATGGACGTAGTGTGTGCATCTAGATATCTGCTGTGGCCTCTTTTTCCATTAGATTAACAGAAATATGTGCAGTGACTTTATTGTATAACAATGCCTATTTATTTGATACATTTAAAGACATAATTGACATGATCACAAATAATCCTCCCCCCCCTCCCTTTCTACAGCGTGAATGTATTTCCATGCACGTCGGCCAAGCCGGAGCCCAGATGGGCAATGCATGCTGGGAGCTGTATTGCCTGGAGCATGGGATCCAGCCAGATGGTCAGATGCCCAGTGACAAAACCATTGGAGGAGGCGACGACTCCTTCAACACTTTCTTCAGTGAGACTGGTGCTGGAAAACATGTCCCAAGAGCGGTCTTTGTCGATCTGGAGCCCACTGTCATTGGTAATTATTTTCTTATAAATGAATTTTGTTCCCAGCTGTAAAATTTTGAACTTTAGAGCAACTTTAGGTGTTTTGGTTAGCTTGCAGTTAAAAGAAGTTCCTTCTTTTTTCAGATGAGGTGCGCACCGGTACCTACCGCCAGCTGTTCCACCCTGAGCAGTTGATCACTGGTAAGGAAGATGCTGCCAACAACTACGCTCGTGGGCACTACACCATTGGCAAGGAGATCATTGACCTGGTGCTGGACAGGACTCGCAAACTGGTAAGACGCTTTTACTGCCACCGTCTTCTCTATAAACTTGTAGATATTAGTTAGGATGTTCACAGAACATATAAGTTCATCCCAAAACATACTATTCACTAGGTAATAAAATATCAGTGAATTTAGTTATAATTGTGATAATGTTATTATAATTGATATATTTCCCATCTAAACATTCACTATTTTGTTTGCAGGCTGATCAGTGCACTGGGCTCCAGGGCTTCCTGATCTTCCACAGTTTTGGTGGTGGCACCGGCTCTGGGTTCACCTCCCTCCTAATGGAACGGCTCTCTGTCGACTACGGAAAGAAGTCAAAACTTGAGTTCGCTGTCTATCCAGCTCCTCAAGTGTCCACTGCGGTGGTGGAGCCCTACAACTCCATCCTTACCACCCACACCACCCTCGAGCACTCCGACTGTGCCTTTATGGTGGACAACGAGGCCATCTACGATATCTGCCGTAGAAACCTCGACATCGAGCGCCCCACCTACACAAACCTCAACAGGTTGATCGGTCAAATCGTTTCCTCCATCACAGCATCCCTGCGTTTCGATGGAGCCCTGAATGTAGATCTGACCATGGCTGCCCTGGAGAAGGATTACGAAGAGGTGGGAACTGACAGCGTTGGAGAAGAGGATGAAGAAGGAGAGGAGTATTAAATTGAGGGCTTGCTGACCCTTGCACAACCAAGCAAGACAACTTATGCCCGACTTAAAAATATGTAAAATGTTCTGTTATAAACCCACATTCCATGAAATAAAAATGTTCCTTTTATTGGGTCAACCTTGTTGTGTTGCCATTGTCTTTTTTTTTTTGTCTCTAAGTATGTTTGAGTATGACTGAGACACTGAGCCCTGCCAAAACTTCACAGCTTAAAGTAGCTGACGTGGTATTATTATGATTATTAGTTAGCAACCATGTTATGTCCACATTAGTGTTGGTAAGAGAAAAGGGAAGAAGGGTTTTCACAGATATGCAAACATAGGGTGTCAGCATTATTATGACCACTCTCCAGAGTTTGTTTTTAAATAACCTCATTGGAAACTAGACAGGAAAAGCTTAAAATACATATTTTCTTTGACTTAAAATAATATCTTGCTCATGTGAAATCACAATTTATATCCTATTGTGAAACTTACTCAAATTAAAAATGAGAACTTCAGGAATATTTTACACTATTTTTTTTTCATTTTTTACTATTATATTTTTTAAAATGGTGAAGTTATCAAAACTGAAATACAAATTAGCATATGGTAATTATCCATCTATTTTCTGAAACGCTTGACCTTTGTATGGTTATACAGCAGAGATGCAAACAGGTAAGGGGGAAAAAGGTGAGAACATTGTGCGGATCGGGGGGCATGCTCCACACGGAATTTCTTTTAAAGATACTTGCTTTACATGCTCATTTGTAGTTGCTGTAAGGTATTTTTTACAATTTTTTTTTTATTACCTTATATGTCCAACTAATTTTTCACAAAATAATTAACGTTGCATCATTTTACAAAAATCAAGATTGAATATATTTTTTCAAAATCCCATGTTATAAAAGATAAAGTTCTATGCAGGCTATTTTAGACAATATTGGCTGATTAGACGGCAATGCCGACCCAAAATGCAAAATGTTTGCCTTCTCTCTCTTCACCGTTCCCACATCTTGGACCTCAAATACATGAAATATTGCCCTTTTTAGACAGCTTTTGATGTAAAGAGTAAAGAAAATACTATACAAAACGTATTAAAACAACCACAGGCCAGTTGCAAAAACTTAGCCACCATGTTAAGACTAGTTTGACCAACTAGCAGTTGCCAAAGGGGTAATCGGTTACTTTTCCGATACAAATGAGTTATGACCAGTCTTGAAAAAAAATTAGATGACTAACTTTTTAAGACGTCTAAACAGTTTATGCAACCAGCCTCAGTTCATTATTCACCCCCCATAAAAACACTGTCATTGGATCTTAAGCAAATCTCATAGGTGACCTATTTTGATGTCAGAAACTGAGTTGTCACTACTGAAAGGTGAGGAGTTTGCATCTGATACAGTGACTAAAATATTAAATTAAAACTCATATATTTGAAGCACTCTAAAGTCACATCTCTTTTTCTAGATATCTTTTTTTGAGGTATTTAACCTGGCAAAACATTCAATCAGTCTTTTAAAAGCCTCCCACAATTATATTTGTCTGCAAAACTAATTTTAAGCATTCAAAACAAATCCTTTAAATCTTCAAGATCATGAGAAAACTACATTTAGTCAAACGTGCAAATGTTTCAGTCATATTGCTCTATGTTCAATGCCATGGAACCAAACTACGTATTATTCTCGACGCAGTCAGGCTAATCTTCTTATCCAGTCTCCTGCTTTGGATATAGTTTACGGATTAAACGATGAATAGGGTTATGTTTTTTACACACACACACACACGTCTGGTCAGCTATCCTTGTGGGGACTCTCCATAGGCGTAATGGTTTTTCTACTGTACAGACCGTATATTATATTGCCCTACACCAACCCTACCCCTAAACCTACCCCTCACAGGAAACTTTCTGCATTTTTAGATTTTCAAAAAACTTAATTCTGTATGATTTATAAGCTTTTGTACCCGTGGGGACCACAATTTAGGTCCCCACCGTGACACGAGTCCCCATGAGTCTGTGTGTATTCAGGTTTAAGTCCCCACCAGGATATATAAACCAGTACACACACACACACACACGTCTGGTCAGCTATCCTTGTGGGGACTCTCCATAGGCGTAATGGTTTTTCTACTGTACAGACCGTATATTATATTGCCCTACACCAACCCTACCCCTAAACCTACCCCTCACAGGAAACTTTCTGCATTTTTAGATTTTCAAAAAACTTAATTCTGTATGATTTATAAGCTTTTGTACCCGTGGGGACCACAATTTAGGTCCCCACCGTGACACGAGTCCCCATGAGTCTGTGTGTATTCAGGTTTAAGTCCCCACCAGGATATATAAACCAGTACACACACACACACACCTCTGTATACACAACATACAACTGTGTGCTACCAGACCAAGTAGGCCTATTGTTTATACAGTCTATGAGAATTATAACTTGGAGAACTGGCAGGCAAATATGACTTTTTGTAAGCCTATTTTCTTCCTATGCCTGTTTGACATATGGATAGAGTGCAGTCGTGGTTTAAGTGCTCATGGAGTGTACGATACAAAGTAGGCCTCTCTGCTCTGACTCCAGTTTGCTCTCAGCTTATCTGTCACACACAGTCCAGCGAAGAGGCTGAAACAGCCGTCCATCAAAAAAAACCAAGTGAAAGCACTGCTTGTCACATGACTCCAGAAATTTGCTAAACAAGTCATGTGGGCCGATGACAAGCATGTGCGGTTATATGTGAGATTTGAGCACAAGTTTGAATGCAAATGTTACAGCCACAATGCCAGGGAGTTGCTTTGCGATTGTTCTTTGCTTTTTACTGCGTATGAACTTTCAGGAGTGTGTAGGATGACTTTATTATTCAAATTTTCAAAAATTATTCAAATTAATATATTAATAATAATAGAATGGTAACACCTCATTTTAAGGTCCAATTCTCTCTATTAACTAGTTGCTTATTAGCATGCATATTACTATCATATTGGCTGTTTATTAGTACTTAATAGGCCTTATTCTCCATGACCATGTTCTAGATCCCTTAATCTGACCCAATACCTAAACTTAACAACCACCTTACTAACTATTAATAAGCATCAAATTCGGAGTTGATAGCGAATGTGATCCCTCATCTAAAGAGTTACCTCGGTAGGTTTCTTGCTTCTGTTGAGCACAAAAGAAGATACTTTGAAGAATGTCAGTAACCAATAAGTTGACAGTAACCATTAACCATAATATATATTTTTTTCCATACTATGGAAGTCAATGGCTTATATCAACATCCTTCAGAATATCTTCTTTTGTGCTCAACAGCTGAATGAAATACAGTTTTGGAACAACTTGAGGGTGCGTATTTTTAGGTGAACTATTCCTTTAATATTAACAATATTATAAATAAAATAAAAAATAAACTTAATCTTAAAATATTATCTCAAAATTGTTTGAAAAATAATCAACTTGATGTCTAAAAGGGTAAAAAAAAAAAAAATGCATAAAATGAAAAATAAAATACATTTATTTAACCTAAATAATTATTGTTTTTTGTTTCCCAGTTTCTGTTTATAAAAACATATTAAAACAAGCAGCTAGCACCATTGTCTTACTTTATATTGTGGTCCTTAAATAGGTCTAAGCATTATTTTTACTTATTTAATCATCTGTCACATAACATGATGTATAATTTATGCCTGTACCACGAACAACGCAGTGAATTATAATATTTTGTTCTACATACTTTTTTTTAAACATATATTGGAAATGTTCCCTTTTAGTTTGACCCATTTCACACAAGTTGTTCAGTATTTCCTTTATTTTATAAAAACTTCAGGGCTTTACAAAAACACAGCTTCAGAAATCCCATTAAATCTCACATCACACTTTATAATTACTGTAAATGTGACTGTCTCACAGGGGAAATCTCAGTATGATCTGCTGTCTCGCTCAGAGAAGGCAGAGGAAAATCCCTCCTACCAATGGTAAATCCTGCCATTTATGGGCATTTATGCAGTACCCTGTATCTTTCCAATTACAACGTAGTATCATTCATCGTGCTTGCTATTTATTTATACTGGTTAGCCGGTATATTCAGAACAGCAGCCCTACTGCTAACAGGGTAGCGTAATATTCTGCTCTGGATCAAGTAATGCATGTTTTTTTTGCACTGAAACATACCACACATGGGTGCAACAATCTTTTAAAATATTCAGATCAATCGTTACAGTTTAAACTATTAATTCCTGATTTTGCTAGCTCTGACTCTCGACATTTGACCTTGCTTGGACCGGATCTGACCCCATCTAACCCCGCCCTATCGTACCATGCTGACCCTCCACTAATCGCTGTCGTCGTCAGACCAGCCAAAGTCGTCCATGGTGATGGCCATGTTCAGTTTGCGTCCCTCACGGACACTGCAGGACTTGGAGGAATTCTTCTTTGCTTGCATGTTCAACTGCATACCTGATTGGCTGACGAGGTTACCGCCGGGAATGTTCATATCCAGGTCAAAGACGCCCCCGAACCCCAGCATGAGCTTCTGTAGGCTGGCCTGGCCCAGATCCCCATTACTGCAGGTTGATGAAATCTGACAGCTGACCTCCGAGCTTTTGCTCTCCTCCATGTGAGCCTCATAGAAGGACTCGGCGCTGAGAGTGGCTGCCAAGGGGGAAATATGTGAAAACAGCTGCGAAAAGAACATGAAGTCAATTAACAGTTTGTAAGTAGTCATTAGAATTAAAGGTGGAAATGTACTTCAATGGAAGCAGCGTTCCTGTTCTTTCTGGCAAACAAATTTCCATCATTTTTCTATGATTTTTAAAAATACTTTGGTAACACTTTACATAAGCCTTTATGTATAATGCATAATAAAGGTATTCGAAATGTACAGCGTAATGCATTATATCTTTTCATAAATAATTTTGTAACAAAAGTTAAAATGCATTATAATATTTCAAGGTTTGTTTGTCGTGTTTTAATGCATTATACTTTCTAATGGTGTAACAATGAATAGATAAGTATTATAATGTATGTTATTCGTGAGATCATACAATGCATTATAAGGTTCATAACAAGGCAAAACTAATGCATTAAAAGTGCACTTAATTGTATTTAATGTGCACTTGTAGCGTACTTCAAATCTTAGAAGTATATTTTAAAAAACG